CAGAGAGTGAAATATAGAAAATGAATAATGAATAGTTTGTGTATAAACAATAGATGACTTTGTCACTGTAAAGAGCAAAGCTATTTCAGATCTCGTGCTTATCCTGAGGATTGTGAAGGCGGACATGGCAGATTTAATACCTAATAGGTAGATAGGTAGTCATAACTGTTAAGTGACCGAGAAGGAAAGAAAATGAAACAACAGAAACATGCCTAGTTGGTGCCTGGATTCTTAAGTAGCTCAATGAAACATTTCCCTCCTAGCTGTCTCTGAAGAGATACAGGATTCAGCTTGCTACAATGATGTAAATCAATCTTAACTTGTATATAAAGATAAATATCCCTTACTTCTCGCTAAATGCCCTTTTTATGCATTTAAATACAGATTTGCAGATAGACACATTTAAGCAAAATAAAATTGTGTGCCATGTAATTTTACAAGCAACTTTCCATCCTCTGATCATTAAGCTAAATACTTATCACGTGCAGACTATACCACACTGACTTTATGGGCTGACATGGGTCATTCGTCCTGTGCTAGGTAGGCACCATCATTGCCTTTAGTACTTTGAGTATAATGAACAGCGCTGTGGCTAAAATGCTTTGCTTATTCTTTGCATAACACTGGTGTCATCATCATCTTGTAATGAATGCATCAAGTGTGTGTGGCATTTACAGCTTGGAGGTACTCTGTAAAAGAGCCTTCCGGAAAACATGTTCAATTCTCGCTCTCAAGCAGTGTGTGAAAGACATTGCTTCTTCAGATCCTTAAAGATCAAGGCTCCAGTGTTAGACTGGGTTAGTGTGTGGTTATCTAAGAGTATTTACTTCATGATTTCTACCTCATATCAATGTCTGGAAATAATTTTCTACTAAAAGATTCTAAAAATGTCTGTGATTTCTCCTCATAATTTACATGATTTCATTTTTTTTCAGAGACTGCAAATTTTTGGAAATTAATCTAGTTGTAAGTCTTGGTATACAGACATATTTTAATTTGTAAAAGATATTTGATTTTAAAAAGACATTTAATGACTATTTTTATTATTATATACTATTTATTAAATAAATATCTATGTTTAGTACATAAAGTACATAAAGCATCTTTTGTCCTGCTGGTCTAGTTTTTCCTAACTATGACTATATACTAGAATTTAACTATAATGTTATGCTAAACAATAATAGTTTACATATTAAATTCTCTGTACTCAAATTAAAATATTGTTTATGTTAGTACAACTGAATCATTACATCCAGGATGACTGGGGATTTCTTTTTTGTCTCTTGAAGACTTTTTTGTTTTGTTTTGTTTTGTTTTAGTAAAGACTCATATTTCCTAATTTGGTATATGTGCCAAAATTTAAATTGACATTAGGAAATTTACATTTCACATTATCTTTATTAACCTAGATTGAAGATGCTATCATCATATATTTATATTCTAAAGGAATATAATATATATCATTCAATATTTTCCTACATTAAAAAATATTAAGTTGAACACCCTGTACTCTGGAGGCAAAGGCAGTAGAATCTGAAACTCGAGGTCATTCTTAGAGACACAGTGAACTGAAGGCCTGCCTGGGGTATGTGGGCTCATCTCAAATAAACAAATATATAGCATACATAAAAACATACACATACATACATACATACTTAAATACATGTGCACAGATATACTGGATTACATAATACATACATACATAATACATATACGCATACTTAAATACATGTGCACAGACATACTGGCTTACATACATACATACATACATACATACATGTACACATACTTAAATACATGTGTACGCAATACTGGCTTACATACATAAAATCTTATTGCACTGGGTCTCATTTTTAGAAAATGTCAATGCAGAGGAACATAATCCATTCTTTTCATAAAAGTGCTTCTAATGTCAATCATGATAGAATTTTCATTTGGGTAATAAAAAGATGATTGCCATAGGCTAAAATATATCAAATACATAAAATTCTGTAACTTACAATGACAATAACAGATGACGAGGACAACAACAACATAAACATGCACTGGCCACCTTAGAGAGTGCAACTCACAGCTATGACATTTGACAATGGGAAAGATTTATGTATTGATTTCTTCTGTCTTAGATGAGCTACAGGTTAGAATATAAATATTTCAATTATAATTAAACAAAGGTAATTTTACATCAGAAATTAGAATTGTATTCTATTGTGCTATCAAAAATAAGAACTAAGTCTTCTGTTCTTTGGCCTTTTGTAATTTCCTTCTGTTCCCCTACTCTCTATTTTTCACAATCTCTATTCCATTTTCTCATGTAATGTTATATTTCAAAAAAATAAAGACTACAAAAGTTACCAATACATAGACACAATCGAGGAGATAAACCTGCTTTTAAATCAATTTGTTCACTACAAATTGTTTATTTGCATTAAAGTACAATAATTCTAGCCCATATAAATATAGTGTCTCAATAATAATAATTACAATAATGATGATGGTAACAATAATAATGATAAGTTATTTCACTTAAAAAAACAAAGGAATGACAGAAAACTGTATTTTGCAGTGCTTAAAGAGACAAGGGATCTAATAAACAATTTCAATGTATACTAAGAGATACAGCTAAAATACTAAGTGAAAGCTTTATTTCAGAAGGAATCACAGTGGTAGCATATGAGCCCATTGATAAATCATAGTTAACCAAGTGAGATAATGACATATATTCCTCATTATGTGTTATGTACACTCTTGGCTTAGATGTAATATCCAACTACCACATTTTATAAAAATATCAAAATAGAATCGTAAATGAATAGCAATGACAAACTCTAAATCAGGAATAATGGATGTCACTAGAACCTGTAAGTCAATGGCAAAAAAAAAAAAATCCCACAAAAACAGAACAAATATAAAAACAACCACAATAAAACTCATTGCTATATAAGAACTTTAAAAAGTAACCAAGAGTACCATGGACCTCCCTCGGGGTCCATTAAAGAAGATAGCTTGGAAACAATCAGGAACATTTGAGTATTGACTTGGTATTAGATGATACTAAGAAAGAATCTTGAATTACATCAGCTGCAGTAACAGTACCTTCATAATATGCACTCAATTAAATAATCAAACAAACAAAAACAAGCATTCCTATTAAGACAGGTTCACACTGAATATTTATATTTGAGTGGGGGTCAAATAGAACAAGCAACACACAACCCGAAGGATGTTAGAGACTACACAAACAGAGAAGGAAGGAAATCGGGTTGAAGGTGGGCAGTCGGAGATGGAGGATATGGAACTCAAACAAGAGTCCCTTGAAGAGCTCTCTGTGGATCACAGATGATTGCATTATTGCCATGGCTAGCTGTCTGGTCTACTAACTTGCCCGTGGTTTCCTTTCTTTCCGTCTTACCTTAAAACATGTGTGGTATTTTTGCAAATACAAGAAAATTAAGAAAAAAACAACTGAGCTTTGTGCTATGATCAGAAACGTCCCACAGGAGGGGCAACAATGAACCTGCCCCTCCTCCTTTGGCAGAGAAACAGCTGTACACGGAAGAGGATGACAAAGCAGGAAGAAATTAGATCTCAAAATCCACTTCTTTTAGCTGTACCATGAAACTTTAGCTCCGCACAAACATTTTATTTAATGAAGTTTAAAAAAAAAAAGTCATACTAAGATGGGTGCCCGTGAAAATAGAACTTTACACATGCTATAGCCTTTATGCTCACCATTTACTTGATTGGTCCAAATATTTATAGTTCATTGTTATGACTGCCAAAACTGGCAACCACGAGGATTGTTGTCTCAATTAGGACAGTAAACAGATTGTCTCTTTTTTTAATGGAAAAATCTAAAATGTAATACTTCACAGTTTCGCATGTTTATTCATCCAAACGAGCTAAAAAATAATGGCGCGACATCTGTTCGAGAAACACTGGTACCTCAGATTTTGGCTGCCTCCCCACCAATTTGGTTGTTGTTTTAAAAAATGAAAAATAGGAGGGGGTACTGTCATCAAAAATCTTCTGGCACGTAAAGTAACTTATTTTATTGAAATAAGCATCCCATATCTGTTGCTACGGATACAGAAATTGTGTAACAAGGCGTTACTAAGCAGACGAGGGCTGCAGTTCAATTGTTTTAAGAGATTCTCTGATCAGCTAGGACGGTTCCATAGTGACACACTTCTTCACGTGATTCTCCAACTCTTTTGTACTTCTCTATGCAATTCCAGCTGAGGACCATGGTGAGGATGATTCTGTAGGTGCGGTTTCATCCGCTACAACTCCACGTTTACTGAAGGTGTAGTGATCCTAAGTATGGCGCCAGCACGACAACACATAGCATTCTACCCAGGCTGCTCTTTCGCCGCAGCGCTAATCAGAGAAGGCAAGGCTGCTAGGGGAGAAGTGGGCAGCTCCCCTCAGAGAGGCTCAGGTAAGTGTAAAGAAGTGTCACTGCCGCTAGAGAGAGGATAAAGAATCGGCTTTGGTCATCTCTGGATAAGAAGTTTGTTACAGATGTAGTACATTAAAATAGAAAAGTGTTTAATCTCTAAGCATATACTTATGAAGCTTATCTAATGTACAATTCATCCAATGAAATATTATTGACTATGCACTTTTAGAGCCTAGAAGATTGAGTGCCTTAGTGTTCATGGAAACATGATAATAAAATTTTATTTTATTTTCATTTGGAGTGAATATGTATGGTAAGTTGATGGGAACTGCTAAGAATGTTTTTAAATAAATAAGATTCAGTTTCCTAAAAAAAAAAATCCTGGCGCTCCTAGTTCCTATTGACTTTGTACCAATTGCTTGATTCTGCAACAATTAATTATACATACAATTAATATATAATTTATACATACACAAGTTATATATATCATTAATTCTTGTAAAATATATATATATATATAAAATCTTCCAATATACCAGACAACCATAAATACTTAATTCTGAATTGATTAATCCACTATATAAAACAATTACGCCGAGACATTTAAAATACACTAAAACAAAACTCTTACATGCACTTAAATTCATGGGTAGATGATCACACACTGGAAAGACATAAGGAAACAGACTCATATTCTCAAGATCTCCCCATCATGGGCTGGGGCTAGAGTATGTCATCAGTCTTCGTAAACTCTTGGTATATTTCGCAGTCGCAAAGCAGACCACCCTATATTCTCACTAAAAGTAGCTTTTCTTTTATAGAAAGAAATATTAAATGATGTGATAGTTTTACAATTTTCTCCTCAAATAAATTTAATTTCATCTAAACTTGCATGGGACATTACAACCTTTGCACCTCATTCGCAGCTCTCCACTGGTTACGGGTTAGCTCTCTGGCCCTGGCTGGAAATTTACAGCATATCATACGTTAAGGGATTCTGAAGTTACAGGCCATTATAATGTCTTCTATTTTGTTCTCCATCACTCTAAGCAGAGTAAGTTATTATGGGGAAATAGCCATGCCTAAACGTTACACCTGATTCTAACCCCACATTTATAACAAATGCTACCTACTACTCAAAAGTGTGGTCCTCTGAAACAGCAGGGAGCCAACATCTTTCTGTCTTGAAATGTTCAAACTAGGCGTTCAGCCTGGTGTTTCTATTCATGAGATGGCTGTTTCCAGTTAATATGAGTTCATGAAATTTGCATTTTATGAAAACAGTATTATGTAAAAATATTATCATCTTGCTTTATCTGCTATTTACTGAAATCAACGCTCTTAGTCTGGGATTTGTTTTCTGGGAATGTCATGAATCAACCAGCTACACAAATGGACACAGGACATGGAGAAATTCAGGTGGTGAAACTTGCTTATTATTACAGTACATTTCAACTTGTATTTATTATTACAGAAACAACATTTTCTCTCCACAGCAAATCTCATGAACAGAACAGAATGGTGAAGCTTTTTCTCACAACAGCCACTTGTCAAGCATTCCGAGGAGGCACACATCTCTTTCGAGTGCTGGTAACTGTGCTGCTCTAGAACCTGGACAGGTATCTGATACACGATTGTTACACATCCGCTCACTTCAATTACCACTGAGAAACAGAAAGAAGCTGCATTGGATGTGCCTGTGTTTAGCACCATATGGGAGGGAAATAACTAAATGAAATTGCTCACGTCAGTGTGAGGAGACTGGAAGAAAACAGTATTTCTTGACATGTGGCATGTCACTCAGGAAAGTAAAAGGCCCATCAAATCCAAAATGCCAGCTTGGATATTCCCTTGCCGCTCACGTCGCGAACAGACATACCACATGGCGTAAAATGCTGCAACCTTTCCTAAAAATGCCACTTGGATGGGCCCTCTGTGGTGAGTATACAAGAACTCTTCTTCTGTTTCTTGAGTCTGTGGGTTCAGGAGGAAGAATCCAGCAAATAACGCTGGCTAAATTTTGCTCTCAGATGTTTGGCATAAATAATCTGTGAGGATACTGGAAACTTAGGCTGTTTCACACTGATGAAATGAATTCCACAGAACAAATGCTACACTGACATACTCAGCTTTTGCACAAGTCACAAAGACTGTCTGTTCTTTTAGAACCCATGCTCTACAGCCAGACTTACTCCAGAGTATCTAGCAGAGCTTCCCGCCTCTCGCAAGTATAGAAATGATCTTAGAATTGTATTTATTTCTCAGAAAGTCAAGGTACACTCTAAAACTCTGCACGTATTTCAAAATAGCCATTTCTATACATCTTTATAGTAGATAGACGCTAATGTCAATTCTATAGATATACGTATATATGTATATGCATACACATATATGCATATATGTACACATATATCCACAAAACTTCCTAAGATTTATGTGTTCTGTATTTTAACACTTTATTAAACCTCTGACTTCCAATCAAATACTGAATAGTATCTATGCTACAACACAAATGATATTCACAAAATTTTTAGAAAAGTACAGATGAAAGCAACATGTGGCATATATTTTTCTACCATTTATTTTTCTCTACTGAGTATGAATTAGTTCTCAAGAGACAAAATGTAATTTAAAAAACAAGGCTTTGTAATGCTCAGATTTAAGAGACACCCCAACAAAATGCTTTTGCGTAGGTGCACTCCTGCTAATTCTGCACCGTGAGAAACCCTGTGCAATTAGAAGCAGATTGCTGCACAGCTCCCTAACAAGAAGGGCGAGCTGATACTGCAGGCAACCAGAGCAACATAATTAATATAGAATTCCAATTTTATATTAATGCAATAATAAGTTAATTAAAACTGAGATCAGCTGAACTTTCTGTTTCCACCAGCTCAGACGGCCCAGGAGGAAAGGAACTCTTCTTTAGGGGCATATGTGACTCTGTGAGCTTCTGTCATCCAGGTGCTATCTCTGACACAGCACATGTGCACTAACAGTTGGCAAGGAAGGAAAAGATTCCTGCGGATGCATGGGCAGATAGTCTCCCTAATGATATCAAATATGTCTGGAAAGAAAGCATGCTTCTTTGTAAAATCTGGGAAGGGCATGTAAAATAAGATTTTTTAAAAAAAGAGCAACATTCAGGGTTGAACCCTGAGCCCAACAGGCATGGGTACCCACGAACACACCCAAAATACATGTGTACACACATGACTAATTAACTGTATCCACATAAACAAAACTAATAAAATGAAATGAAAATATCAAAAAAATTCCCATTACTTTCTGCTCATTCTTAGGTTCTGAATATGATTTTGAGTAAGCGTTTTCAAATAACAATGCAAACTTTTCCTTACAATATGCATGGGATAAAACAGATTTAATGATGTTTAAGTGGCTGAGTTATACATGTAAATTTGGAAGACATATGAAAACTGTGTTATCCAGCTATATCAATGAATAGGGTATCTGCCAAAGCTGAAAGATTTACAAAGTATTGAGTAGCATACGTGACTCAGGATTGCTGGATAAAGTCTCCAGATACCTTATGCCATGAGGTACAAAGATATTTCTGCAAACTGACAGTACCAAGAAGAAAATATTCAAAATGTTTCAGTTTTGAAAATTGTCAAAGTACTTCTCCCCAAGGATGCTCTTATCGGAATTAGTTCCCTTCATTTATTGATTGCTGCTCAGCTAATCTTCATCTGGGTCCAGATCAGAGTCAATATTCGTGGACAGTCGGAGATAAAAGAAAGCATAGAAAGCCAGTAGGAGGGCCAGGAGAGCTGCAAGCATGAGACCAACTTCCTGGGAAAGAGAAAACAGTGAACTTGAGCTGACGAAGAGAAATTGGCTTCATCAGATACAATAAAATTATCACTTCATGGTGTAGGACAAATATTGTCAACTCAATAATTATTAATAAGTAATCTATTTTTCAGAAGACAATACATATTGTAATAGCAGATTCATAAACGGATGAGGCATTTCTATTAAGATTTTTCTGGTGGCAAAATTGAAATATGTTTTAATATATTTTCTTAATTTTTCATCAAAATTTTAAAGTCAGTCAATGTAGTTTGTGCTTGTATTTGAATAGGTCTCTATTGAGAACATGTAACTATTTTTTAAGTATTACTTATTAGTGATTATCAGAAGATATTTTACAAATTACCACTCATTTTCTATTGTAAGGAAATGCCATTGATTTTGATTCCAATAAACAGATACATTGGAAGCGCAACTGTTCACACTCACTTTATTGAGATTGTAATAGAATTACAAATTATCTCCCTCTCCTTTCTGTTCCCAAACCTTTCCATAAACCCCTCCCTGCTCGCCTTCAAATTCATGGCTTCTTTTCCACTAACTGTTTCTTTTTCTTTTTCTTTTTCTCTGTTTCCTCCAATCCCCACCACTCCATTTTTTTTGTCTTTTTCTTTTTCTTTTTTCTTTGGAGAAAAGTTGACCTCTAACATGTTGTGTGGCTGAGTGAGACTGGCTTCCAGCTCCTGCACTTGCTACCTTAGTCTCCAACTGGAGTGCAGGGACTGCAGGTTTGCCCCAACATGCTTAGCTACACATTCTGCTTTTTAGAACTCTAAACTTTGTAACTTACACAGTGGGATACAAAGTGAACTCTGAGTGCATGAGGTAGAAACTAATATGGTTCATCTTAGCACTGAAGACAGGGATTGGATACTACCTTTAGCGTTTTGATACTGATTATATCAATCATTTATATTTAGTAATGGGCAAAATTTAACATACGATAAAACTACAATTCCTTTCAAAAAATATCAGTGTTTTTGTCTGTGTGCGTGTGGTCTGTGTGCAAAGAACTTTTCTCAATGTTAATGAGTTATTTTACTGCACAGAAAAAGAAAAGAGGCCACTTCAAGACCCACAAGGCTCTTACACACCCTGCTCACACTGCAGGACCCACAAGGCTCTTACACACCCTGCTGTCACTTGTGCATCCCCTACATGGCATTGTTTCATGGGGAAGCGATTCATTTGCATCCGTATGAATATATTTTACATTTAAGATGAATGCAAAATAAATAATTCAACATGTGCCACCTATTAAACTTTAAAAAATATTTAAATGAATTTGATATATAATCAACACGAAATTTCAGGTGAATGCTGAAACCACAAACACATTATGTACAGATTTTCTGTTTCTTGATTATATTTATTTAGATATCCAAACTATGAAAATAAATATTGATAGAGACTACAGCATGGAAAACTGTGTCAGTAATTTTTGTGGGACCTGATATTTAAAATCTACTATATCAATGTAATGTCAGCTGGAAGGCTCTGGCACCTCCGAGGGGCAGGGCAGCCCCGCACAGGGCAGCACTGCGCAGGCCTCATTATGTCCTCCAGCCACAGCTGTGCTTCCGGCCCATCTGCTTACAGCACTTCCCGTTTTAAGAGGACATAGGGAACAAGCGGCATAACCACAAGCTCCATCTGCTCTGGGGAGTGGACAGCAGAACCCACCCACAGCGGCCATCACTCCAGCAGCTCAGAGAGAGAATGAAATCTGTAGTCTTGTTTCCAGGATGTGTTCCTCATCTCACTGATAGCCACTCTTAATTACTGCTTTCCCACTCACGATTGTTAAGACAAGCAGCCAGCCCTCCTTAAATTTGTTCGGGATATTCAGAGGTATTAAGAAGGATGTTAAGGGTAGAAAGCAGAGATTATGCTGTAGTTCAATGCTCTCTGGTCAGTGTATGACATGCAAATGGCTTTAAAAACACAGAGGGCAATGTCACAAACACTTTCCTTCAAAACGCCTTTTGGTGGAGGCAGACACCATGGAGGGTGACTGTTCTAAAGAATCTGCCATGATCAAATCTCAAATGAAGCATTCAGGATCCCAGAGCCTGTGGCCATAACCTTAGACACCTGTAGGATGCCTTCCTCTCCATGATCTGGCTGCTGTCCAGATTTAAACCAGAAATAATAAAAAGAACAAACAACATTTCAAGCTGTTCCTCCCAAGGGTTGCAGGCAGGGTCCGCCTGATACTGCATATCTGGCTGACGTGGACAGGCTAAGTGTTCCATCCTTAGACTTTGTGAGGACTTTTGAAGGTAGCTAATGCAGATTTGTTTTTCCTGCATGTTGGGGAGCACAGATATCTGCATCCTATCAGAATTTCAGCAATGTGGACAACATCTGTGTCTCGGCATCTATGTTTCTCATGCTTTTCTTTGTCTTTTCCTTCTGCTTGTTTGTTTTGTCCTATTTCAGTGTGTGTGTTGGTTTCTGTTTTATCTTATTTTATTATTATTTCTTAGAAGCCTGTTTGGTTTCTAGCAAGAGACAGAAAGAGTGTGGATTTGGATGAAAGGGGAGGTGTGGAGGATCTTGGAGGAGTTGGGGGACGGGGCCATAATCAGAATATATTGTATAAAAATTATTTTTAATAAAAGAAAGAAATAAAATAATTTTATTTTAAAGCTGAAACCATTCATCGTTCCTCCAAAACATTTTCTACTACACAACTGTATATTTAGAACAAGGCGCCAGAACTCGTAAAGGGCAAATGCCTTCTTCTCAGCCAGTCATCTCAAAGCTCAGCGCACTTGGTCTAACATGATAATTCAACCTGGAGGTGACGTCTAATGCACAGTTTTCAAGACAATCACATCTTACTCATCTCTTATACTGATTTGTAAGTAAGACTGGATCGATTATACCGATGTGACTTGCACAGTAAGCATATTAAAAGTGTGTGATGGCTGAAAGGCTTTAAGGCACTGATACTCATAATACCAACCCCACAGCAAATCCCAGAGCTCTTTGTGTCGCAGTGGCTACACAAGACAGGCCCTGGGGACGTAATGACGGCCCTGACAAATATTCAAGGGTCGTATTTACCCAAACGAGGCGTGGCTAATCTGGGGTTTTCCCAACCACTTAATAGTTGCAGGTGCCGTGGATGTGGTAAGTTCAATGCTCTATCTTCTCCCTCTACTTTCAGCCCTGAGGTGAAGGACACAGTCTCCAACTACAAACACAGCTTAAGACGATTTAGTCAGCTCACTCATGCCAATGGTGAGGGTCACAAGGGATGTGATCTCAGGTCTTTCACGGCACACTCAGTTTTGACGTCACTGGTGTTTTTTTTTTCTAGTCTATGCACCTGTTCCTATTTTCTGTAGATTCATAATATTTGAAGAGTGCAACTCTAACTCACTCAAAAGTAGTAACACAATACGACTTTCTGGTCATCTTGCATCAACTCGGTAAGAGCCAAACATGGTTGATGTTCATTAGCTCTCACTTGCTTCTCTGACATTATCAACATGGATAAAATCGCTCACCAGGGAAATTAAAAAGCTTTAAAAGACAATTGCTGAAGGAAACTCTGTTATTTAAAAATCCTACAGCAAAATGACAAGGCGATCAAAGTTTGACTGGGCAAACTAATTAGTATGCTCGATTTGAAACGCAAGACACCTTCGTGGTTTTGATTCTTAGAAGTTTCATGTCATGACAATAGGCTTTGAATATACACTTTTCATGCAAAGATAATGGTGGTTAATGTCTTTGTTTCTTAAGGTTTACCAAACAGAATGATATGCTAGATTATTAAAATAGATCTATATTCTAATATCAGACACTTTTCAGTGTATGTTTTTATGGCGAAAGAAAGCTAAAAAAGTAATTCTTCATAGTTCTGAAAAACATATTAACTAACAGCACTCTACACTACTTTAACCTATAACCAGAGGAAATAACACTGCTATTTCCTCAAAGCAAAACCAAAAGTGTAAAAGCAAATTAAATGAGGGGTGGGCACACAAGTGTGGTCTATAAATATATAGAAGACTGCATTATTTCAATAATCCTAATATATAACTATTCATTAAACTATGCTAGAAATACATTTTGTTACACTAATATTTCCCTTATAATCTCCTAGTATGCTGTGAAATATAAAAGCAAATATTAACTTTTTCCTTGGAGGACACTGTTGAAATGCTTCCTATTACAAGAGTCAGTCATTACGTGGCTAAACAGAAAATAAAAGCTAAACATGGTTCTTTAAAAGCTGATGCCACAGAATGTCTTTTGTATGAATGCCATGAATGTAATTTGTGTGAATTATAAAAAACTAAAAAGACAAACCAATCTTTTAAGTTAAAAAAAAAATCTCCTTTTTCCTTAAAACATGCCGCACAGCACTAACGGAGGAGACTGTTGTGGGAAGGGCACATCACACAGCAGAGCTGATCACAGTCAGCAGTCAGAGGCGGGGAAAGCAGGGTTCCACCATCGGAACAGCGAGTTCTGGACGCTCACCAAGGACATCATCTGGCAAGGCAACAGCTGCTACAGCTTGCTGGTAATACCCTGGCATTTGTTATGAGCTATAACTTAGAAAAATTGATTTTTTTATCTGCCAGATGAACACCCAGATTTTCTTTTAACAGTTTAATATTTAAATAAAATATTTGTACTGGTCATTTTTAATTTACACATTTGGTAGCATTAGTTCCAAATGGATTTTCCTACCTAGTTTACTCCATGCTAAATATTTGGTGAACACTTGACATAACCAACAATAAAATATTTTAGTTTTGTAAGCACATTAAACTAATATCTGCTGACACCCTTCTCAGTTGCACTCCCCCCCCCCCCCCCATAAGCAGATAGGCACTGGTTTGCCAAAAGGGCAAGTTTGAGGATATCACTAGAATTTCATTACACAGATTCTAGAGACAAAGTAAACAACTATAGAGTGGGGTTCACTGAGTGGAAGAATCTGATAACCCACATACATGACTGAAGTGTTTGAACAATATTTCTAATAGCTAGAATAATAGCTTGAGAAGAAGCCTGTTTTCTATGTACGGAATATACTATAAACTTTAATTACAACTTTATCTTAAGGGTCCTCAAAATTTCAAGACAGAAATGATGTTTTCCAATAAGAAAATTATTTTACAAAAACTTTACTAACACTTTATTGAGATTGAAGTAGTTTAAGACATTCAAATTTAACACATATACAACTGAGTTGTGTAAATTGAACTGGCATACACACATCAAACTATAACTTAATCAAACAGAAGTATACCTTTATGCCTATTGCTGTTTTCTTTGCTTCCGCTTTTAATTTGGTTGCTCGTAAAATAGGTTTGGTTTTTTTATAATCCTGTTTGCCTAGAAAGAAACAGTTTCAGACAATGAGTTATTTTTATGGATAATTTAAATTTCACAATCACCTATACAGTGTCAAAGGATGTTTACACAAAGTAGACACTCACAGGTAAGATTCCATAAGTCACTCAAGACTGATCTCTTTTGACTCTGACAGACATCATGATCTGATGCACAGAATGCCAAAACAAAATTATATCTTTTATTTTTAGAGAATAAGATACTCACAGTAAGTGTGAATCTTTTAAAATAAAAGTACTAATAACTTAATATATAAATTATAAGACTACATATAAAAACAAGATATATAATTATATAGTTATATATAATCGACTATTAAATAAATTGCTTTAGCAATTAAAAATAACTCCTGTTAAATTAATAACATTGTGGATACATTAAATACACAAGAGTATAATTTAAGAAATATTTGCTCATTTTTTCCTGAGACTAACAGAGGAATCCATAAGATATTGACTTTAAAGTCCCTAAATTCATTAGAACAAAAAATGTCTAACTTTCATCCTTTCACCAGAGGACGGAACAGACATGACTAAGTCAGACAGAGGCGAGCGACATTTAGATATGACACTCAGTCTTCCTTACTGCATTTCCCAGCCAAAGAGAAGCGAAGCTGAGCTAGTGTCACTAAATTCTGGGGTTGGTGTACCATCTGGTGACCCCACTGACAAGCTACAAAAGAAGCAGTACTCAGCCTCGGGAAAAATATTAGATTTCACAACAAAAGATTATCAAGAAAAGTATGTATTTTAAAAAATTCTCTTTAAGGAAACAAGTGGGAGTTGTCGTAAGAAAAACTCTAAGGTGGCGTTCTGAGCAGCAGCTAACAGACAGGACAGCATACTTCCTAGCCTCACCCTGTGCTCTTCTTCTCTTTTCAGCCTTTCCTCTCAGAGTGTTTCAGGAGCTTACCTACACATTGCCCTTTTTACCCCAAATTTCCACATCCTATTCACACTCAGATAAATCTGGAAGCAGCTGATCTAAAGGATGTCATAAAAATTTAATGCTAAACACATCTGTTTCTTAATGCGTCTGCTAATGATTCAAAAGTGCCTTTATCTTCCACATAGAGTTTTAGAAACGCGAACGGCAGAGAAGGGAGGTAAGTGGACAGTGATGACGGAGAACGGCAACAGCTGGCTCATTAGACACAGACCAGCGTTTCTCCGGTTGAAGGGCCATGTGCGAGTTCTCGAGGCCAGAGAGTGAGCTGCACTGCTGCACAGCAGCCACGCTGCTTCTACCGGCTGAAGCTTAATAAGTATTATTTGTTGATAGGGTTTAATGATGCAGAAAAGAGTCAATTGTAAAAGATGAATATCAAATGTTCTAAATTTAAATAAATAATTAGCAGAAAAACATGACTGTGACTCACTTTAAATTAGTAACATTTAATTTTGCTGGAAAAAGAGATAAAAAAAACCCTTGACAAGTGTTCATTCTGATTTCACATCTCAATAGTCCAGCTATTCCTGTGTCCGTCCTGCTGAGATATAAACAGTTAGGAGCAATGAAAGTCGCGACACTGTTCCTCCACTCCGTTCCACCAAGCACATTTCCAATGCAAATCTTAGAAGAAATGTGGAGATCACAGATACCAGCAGAAAGAAACCCCTCGATTCATCTAGTATATGTCTAATAAGAATTTTAAGGTAAAGTGGAGAAAAAAGTGTGAATGATGATTTTAAACATGATTAATGAGTGATATTCATGGTTTCTGTCATGGTCCATCATAACATCACCAGATAGATATCAGAGTCAACTTAACAGTAAGAATTTACCAGTCAACCGGTGGCACCATAATACCATTGCTTAAGTTACTCTGTTCCACCTATGGTCTTGTTTTTAAATTTTTATTTGATTTTTATTAAGGTACACATTTTTCTATGCTCTCCTCCCTGCCTCTCCCCGCTTCTACCCCCTTCCAAGGTCCCATGCTCCCAATTTACTCAGATCTTGTCTTTCTCTACTTCCCATGTAGGTTAGATCCATGGATGTCTCTCTTAGGGTCCTCATTGTTGTCTAGGTTCTCTGGGGTTGTGAATTGTAGGCTGTATTTCTTTGCTTTGTGTCTAAAAGCCACTTATGAGTGAGAACATATGATATTTGTCTTTCTGGGTCTGGGTTACCTCACATTAATATGATGTTTTATAGATACATCCATTTGCCTGCAAATTTCCAGACATCGTTACTTTTTTCTGCTGTGTAGTACTCCATTGCCTACTGAGGTTTCTGTCCCACCCTGTTCTGTACCCATTCAGTCCCCCAAAAAACATACAGCAGTCTACATTAATTATAAATTGATTGGCCTATTAACTCAGGCTTCTTATTAACTCATAACTTACATTAGCCCATAATACTTTTCTGTGTTAGCCACATGGCTTGGTACATTTTTCAGCGAGGCAGTCACATTTTGTGTCCTCTGTGTCTGGGTGACCACCGCAGACTGACTCTTTCCTCTTCCCAGAATTCTCCTGTTCTGGTTGCCCTGCCTCTACTTCCTGCCTGGCTACTGGTCAATCAGCATTTTATCAAACTACAAATGACAGGGTATAGACCATTGTCCCACAGCACTCCATTGTGTAAATGTAGCACATTTCCTTATCCGTTCTTCATCCACCAATAGTCTTTACGAAAGAAAACTTCTCAATTATTATACAAAAATCTAAAGGTGCACTTAAAATGTATGTTATTAAAATGAGCACGGGACTGGCCCATTTCCAAACAACACATCTGGCATTAGCTTCCCATTAACTTACATGGCTTCACATCACAATCTTCAGCTCCATCCTTTTTCTACAGAGGACATAATTTCATTATTTATGTTTAAAGTTACACCCAGTGGTACAATGGTGTCATAAATGTTATGGGAGTCACCAATAATTTGGAATGATCTCAGGCCAGCTTTTTAAGATAGAAACCATATCTTGCACTATTAATGGAACCAAGAACCTGTGGTAAAACAGGTTATAGACCCATGGGGAGAAGCCAATACTATTATTCTGCTAAATGGATAAAGTATTTATACAATCTTCATGGCTTACTGATATACTCCTGGATCAGTGTATCTATCAACCTTCATCAGAGAAGCTTCTTCTTGCAGTAGATGACAATTAACATAAAGAATGTGCCTCAATTGGTCAATGTACAGAGAATAAGAAATGGATACAGATGAGAAATGGAAATAGGGTAGGAAGTGAGAAGAAGACAGATCCATGTAGGCAGAGGCTGCTTGTTCATTTCCCGGCCCTCCAGACCTGAAATAACCGTACAGAAACTATATTAATTGCAAGAGTGCTTGGCCAATGACTCTAGCATATTCCTAATTAGCTCTTAGATCTTAAATTAACCCATTTCGGTTCATTCATGTGTTGTCACGTGGCTGTAGCCTGCTGGTAAGGTTCCATCTGGCATCTGTCTCCTTTTGAAGCTACATGGAGTTTCTCTGACTCCACCTACTCTTTCTCTTTATCTCATCTAGCCTGGCTATATTCTGACCTATATAGGCCAAAGCAGCTTTATTCATTAACCAATAAAAAAAACACATATACAGAAGGATATTCCCACATCAGATCTAAGAAAAGTTAATGGGTAAGTATGATAAAAACATATTGTATGAAATTATCAAAGAATTAATAAAGTATTATTGAAAATTACATTTATATATCCAATAACATTGAAATATATTTAAGAACAAGCACTTTCCTTTAAAAGAAATAAATAAAAATATATACTCAAACAAATATTTTTAATAAAAATCATAAATTTTCATACTATATAGTTACTATCAATAATCACTCCTCATATCACATTGTTTTAGGAAAGGATACAGTAATTTATATGATACTCTAAATCAATATAAACTCTATGTGCTTTATTTCATATTAAAGTTGCATTTTCTTTTAATATTACATAGTTTTAAGTAGGTATTGTCTTAGTTCAGTCAAAACAAACAAAAAGAGACACCTGTCTTTGGCTCTATCCTATTCAGTTATTTACCCTGGGCCAGAAGAAGACTGCGCCTGTGCCCTCTGTCGAGGTGCTTGCTCGGTCATTACCATGATAACATCTGGTGACCACTGTTTTAGAAGCAAACTGTTTTTCTTTCCCCCTCACACTGGCCGTGCTCATTATAGTCCCGAGGCAGCCTGCTCTTCCTCTGCCTTGCTGCTTTAAACATTAATGCTCTGTTTTCTGAATACGGCCTAAGCTGCTTATGACTACATTATGCTATCAAACAAGCACACGCAGAAAAGCCTCCTAAATGTTATTCTTGTGATGAAAATGCAGCTGGTTCTGCTCAAAGGCGCATCCATTTCACCTGCAGATGGACTTGCTCCTGCACTTCCTCCTCAGTTCATTGTCTTTTATTTGTGCCTGCAAATCTTTAATTGCCTTTAATTAGAAATAAGGAATATCAGTGCTTTAATCTTTCAAATACATTCAATCATAATTCTGTCTGGGACGAATACCAAGTTCTATTCACTGTCTGATCTCTATTACAAAGATATATAATTTATTGTCCATTTATATAGATCACACCAATTAAGATACAAAATAAAAGAAGAGAGATAACAGTCAAAATATTTGAAAAGAAAAATTTGCAATCTAAATTTAATTATTCAAATGAATTATTGGAAGATGAGTTATTTGCAGCATGCCAAAAGTACTGACAAATAATATTTGCTAATCAACAGTAAAGACATTTATCTTGACTTCAACATTTTTAGAATAATTTCAACTGCTTCAAATCCCTCCTCCTTTATTCAAAAGTCAAAAATATTTTAAAATCTCTTCTAGTACTACAGAATTAAATACAAGAGCAAGATAATTTATTACTAAAAAATGAATTTTTACTGTATACACAGTAGAATTTTACATATACATATTATGTGCATATGCAGAAGTTTCACTATGAAACCAAAACTCAACAGTCTTTCTTAGGGTATTTATATAACACCCCCCCCCCCCCCGTGGAT